CGAGGTCAAGGGCATGGGCTGGGGGCAAGTCTGGGCTTTGTCACCTGTAAGCTGCGTGACCTGGGACAAGTGACTATACCTCTCTGAGGCTTGGTTTCTGCATCAGGTGGATGGCAGGGGCACCGTCAAGAGCAAAGGACATAATTGACAAAAGGACTTTAGCACGGGGCGGGCCTTCCTCTCGCCCCCACAATGAGGTGGATTCTCTGGACTTGAAACTGCTTCCATTCCTTTAGCGGCCTGCTCCTGCCTCCTTCCCCTGTAACTCTGGACACTTGCAGAGAAACTTCTAGGTAGAATCAGGGCAGCACCCTGGAGCTGGGGCTGTGTGACTCTGGATAAGTGACTTCACCTCTCTGAGCCTCAGGTACCTCGTTGAGAAGAGTGAGCTGAAGCTACCCGTCCTATTTATTCACAGTCTCTGAAGAAGGTACGCCGTCACTGACCAAGTGCCCCGCGAAGGGGGACAGTGATCAGAATGCAGGGCGAGGCTGACCTGCCGGTCCAGATGGACGCGGGGCCGGGGACCTTGGCCTCCTTCGCACCCTCCTTGAGGGCAGCAAGCCCAGCAACCTGGATATCCTCCGACAAGCAGCCTTTTAAAGTGACCGCTCCTAAGGACCAAAGGTGCCAGAGGACCCGGGTTTAAGCCTCTCCTCCTCCCCACCCGCCAGGCCCCCCCTCCTGGGGCGCGGGAGGGAAAGGTCTTCAGTGTAAATATCACTTCTCCCCCAGATAAGTGCCACACCCCGGCAGCAGGGTGGCCGTGAGGGCAGGGGGAGGGACGGAGCCCGAGCAGGAGCCCGTTAAGTCTGTTTCCTGGAGGAAGAGGGAGGTGGCCGAGCAGGAGGGTCCCACGTCCTAAGGGTCCCTTGTCCTCACGGTCCCCAGAAGCCACAGACTGGGGGTGCCCTAGACCTGCGGCTCTGGGCTTGGTGGTCCTCCCTGTCACCCAGGCCAGCTGGTGACCGTTCCTCCAGCATCCAGATGCCAGTGCCAATCCCCACCCCAGACACATCCTGGATGGGGGGATCCTTGATTGGGAGGAAGATAATTTGGGGGCAGCAACGTGTACCTGGGAACTTGATTGTCCCCAGGCCTGCCAGCCCCGAGAGTGACCCCAAATACAGCCTGCTTGGCAACTGGACGGGGGGGGGGGTCCTCTGGAAGCTGCAGAGGGGGGAGAGGCAGCCCCAGGGACAAACCCTCACAAGGCAGGCGGGTCCAATGGCCCCAGGACCTTTGGACCTTCCCACAGATAAAAAGCAGGCTCTGTCTCCTACACAAATAGGGCTTTTAAAATAGCCTTGAGTCCTCCACGCTGGGTAAACCAAGGAAAGACGGATGGACGCACTGTGTCAGGAGGACGCGTTCACCGTGTCGGGAACCACGTCGCCTTGGTGACCCAGCTGGTGGCACTGGAGTGGCCAAAACAACACACCTGTTCCCCTGGATGCTGGACGCTTATCGCGTTTGCAGCCATTGGTGCTGAGTGTGACCTTCCCCTGGAGACGCCCCCAAGGACCGGGGACCGGCGCTTTCTCGGGAGCCACTTAAAGCTCTCTCTGTGGTGGAGCTGGGAATTCCACTGATGCAAACCCCATCAAGTGTGTGGGGGGCGGCACCGTCCCCAAAGCAGCTTCCCAGGGTAGAGGGGGGCACTTACAAAACGCCACGCCCCAGGGGCGGAGGAGCGTCCTGGAGGCCACTCTTGCTTACAGTGCTCCCGCAGCAGCCTCCCTGGGCCCCGGGCCTCCTGGGGACTCCTCTCAAACCTCCCCTCCTCCAAAGTAGGTTGAGCTGGGGGCAGAGGGAGGGCCATGGCGGATGCCGTAGGCTGGGAGCTGGCCCAGCACGCTGGACCGGCCAGGCCCTGCCTCCTCCTTGGGGAATCAAAGCAGGAGGGGGCTCCCCTGGGTGGTGCTCGGAGGGGCTCCTGGGGGCTCCCCGAGGGCCCTGCACACTAGGTGAGGACGTCCAACCTGGCGTGCTGGGTCTCTGCCCCTGGCTGGGGGAGGGGGTCCATCAGCAGGATCCTGGGGGGGCCTCACGTCACACAGGGTGGCTCAGGCAGGTCCGGGTGTGGCTGAGGTAGAGCCCCCAGGAATCCTGGTCGTCACCCCTGGGATCACGGTCAAGGGTACGGAACACTGGACACAGCGGGGGTCAGCTGCCCACGCAAGCCGCATCCCGTCCAGTGGTCTCCGTGTTGAGGACCAGGGAGGGTCAGTGAGACGGGGAGGTGGGGGTTGTGCCCAGAGCACACTCTCCAGGGTCTCCCAGGAAACAAGGGGACACCCACGTTCCAGATGCTGCAGCTGCTTTAGGACGTAAGTCCACCCACTCAGACTCAGACACCTGCTGGGTGGACAGAAGACCCCTCAAGGCCTCAGGGGGCTGTTCCCGTGGGTCAGCTCTGCAGGGCTCCAGCCTAAGAGGCCCCCTGTGCTCACCCCAGGGAACCAGGAGAACCCTGAGGACGGATCCTGGCCACTGGCTCTGGGAGTGGACGTCCAGGACCACAGGAGCCCCCAAGCATCTGCCCATCAGAAGGGTCCCGCTCCACCCCACGAGTGGGTCCAAGACTCCCTGCCTTCCTTCTCCTGGAGACGAGAACTAAACGTTCCAAGGACACACAGTGTCCCCACGTCACAAGTGACACATGGATCACCCAAAACACCTCCTTCCAGGGGTCCCGGAGGATCATGCAAGGTGGAGATGGGGAGAGAGTAGTCCCCGAGCCGGGGTCACGGGTGGGCTCTGGGTCTCGCGGCGAGAGCCACAGCCTAGGCCCGAGCACCTTTTGTCATCACGGTTTTCGGGGTTCAAGGGTGGTCATGTGGGGGTAGGTCCAGGTGGGGGGATAGCTCAGGCTGGCTCTGGGCTGCGAGGTTGAGTCTCAGGGACTGCACACGCACTTGCACACACGCGTGCACACATGCACACATACACACTCCGGCGCGCCTGGGGGCTTACCTGTCCACCTGGACGCCTGTGTCTCTCGTCTCCGCCTTGGCAGGTGCCCCTCGCTCGGCCCCTCGGCGGCCGCTGGTGAGAAGGCTCAGCACGGGCTCGATCTCTCTGAGCAGTTCGTTCTGCTCCGGGCTGCCCTGGGGGCCAGCCTTGCTGCTTTTCTTGGCAGGGTCCTGGCTCGGGGGCCTGGGGGCCAGGCCGTTGGCTTGGGGCAGCGAGCCGGCTTCCGGCCCCTCGTCCTGGGCATGCTGAGGCCCGTTCCCGGGGCCTGGGGGCCCACCGGCCGCGGGCAGCTGCTCTTTGCTGGCCGAGGGCTGCTGGGACAGATCGACAGCTTTGGTGGGAGGTCCCAGGGGCTGTGTCACCCGGATGGTCTTGGGGGTCCCGTCCCCGGTGAAGGTGGTCTCCAGGTGCGTGGTAAAGCCCTCGGGACCCCTCAGAATGAGGACCACGTGGGTCTCGGAGGCAATGCCCCGGAGCACCTCCAGGGCACTGTCATAGCTGAGGTCCACCAGGGGCCGGCCGTTGACGGCGAGGATGATGTCCCCCGCCTGGACCAGGCCACTCTGCTCGGCGGCTCCCCCGCGAATCAGGTCCGAGATGATGACGGGGGGCTTGCTGACGCGCTCCTTCACCAGGAACCCCAGGCCCCCGACTTTGCGCTTGAAGAGGCGGACGGAGATGACATTGGGCTGGATCTGCTGAACCCCGAACGTGTGCTCTTCCATGGCGCCTGGCCTCCGAGGGTCCACCCTGAAGACCCCGAAGCCTATCCAGCCGAGACGGATCCTCCAGGAGGGGCCAGGACTCGGCTCTGCCGAGAAAGGAGCCGGGGACACAGTGGCCCAGAGGTTTCAGGCTCCGCCGTCTCTGACGTCAACGCTGCGTCACGGGCTCATTGCCGGGTGGCCGTCGGTGGCATGATTTCCTGCGTCTGCCCACCCCCCTGCTTGTCCTCTCAGGAGGCTGACAGCAGACAGACGTCAGGAGAGCGGTGGGACGTGTCCCCGAGCCACAGGTCGGCAGGCCGGGGAGGAGCGTCTGGGAGGTGTCTAGAGGTGGCGCGTGATGGCTGTGGGCTCTTCCCTGGGCATCGTGGTCAGCGGCTTGTTAGATGCAGATGAGATCCGGGGACTTCCGGAGCTGAAGAGAGGGGACAAGGGCATGAATGGAGGGAAGGGAGATGAGAGATCTAGGGACCACCCCACCCCACCTTCAAGACGAGGGTGACAACGCAGACCAGCGTCCAGTCTAGCCCAGACACCTGGGGCTCTGAAGCCAACCTAGAGGTGGAACCTTGGTCCTCTAGGGGACAGTCCCCCCATGAGCCACAAGCCGTCTGGTTTCACCTCCAAGATGGAAGCCCTCAGCCACCCAAGGGTCTCCTTGGGGGGAATTGGGGACAGTCAGAAAGCAGACGGGAAGACTCACAGGACCTCCCTTATCTCTGTCCCCTTCAACTTACCACGTGGCCGTCAGCATAGCCCAGGAGCTCGGCGGCCGGGGCTCTCTGGCCCCTCATTCCAGCCCTTCCACAAACCCCCCACCCCACCCCCAACCCACCTGAAGAAGAAGGATACCACCCCCCACGGACCCAGGGACAGGGATGCCGGCCGACCTTTGGGACCATTTTTATCATTATTAGCTTGTTGTAAGTTCAAAGACGTAGACGTGACCCTATTAAAACACCATCAGTCCCCAAGGCGCAGGTCCCCAGGAAACTCTGGGAGACGTCCGTGCCCCACAGACCACAGAAACATGAGAAGGGCTGTTGTAACCCTGGGGATCTCGGGGCACATCTCAGCGCTCCAAGAATCCTCGCTGATTGAGGAAGAAAACCAACCTTCCCCAAGATGAAATCGGATGGCAGCTACTGCATTGGCGCTCCTAACCTGCGTCAGTTCCTATTCTGACCCCCGTGATCGCCCCTCGATAGATGTGCAAGCCGAAGCCAGAGGGGGTTCAGGTCTTTGTTCAGGGCCACTCGGGAGACGGCGGCGGAGGGAGATCGGGCAGCCTCACCCTGGAGCCTGAGCTCTGAGACTTATACGCTAATTATTTTAAACGGACTTTCTAATTATTCTCTCAAGTCCCGGTTTTTTGTCTTTGAAACACTGGCGATTCTCAAGTGAGGGATCCCCCCTTGCTGAGCAGTGTGGGGTGTGGCCGGGGTACCAAGGGCTGCAGATGCCGTGGCTCAGGTGAGCACCCCCCCAC